TATATTTCATTCTTTTCATTTTGAAGCATTATTGTAATACCGAGGGTAAATCAGAGCCTTCCAGTTTAGGGTTGAGGGTGAAATTGTGCACCAGTGATCCACCTACAGCTGGTTTACATTAAAAGAAAGCTCAGAAGTCCCCTGGAGGACTGGAAGTCTTCTCCAAGGAATCATAGTGAGCTTCATCGAGGTGGTCCTCCTCGATTTCATCCTCATCGTCGGAGAGGAGCGGTTTGGCCGGGGCCTCCACAGCCGGCTCGCCTGGTGGATCATAGCTAGGAAGAAAAAGAGCAAAAAGGGATTGTGGTTTTTATTTGTTAAAATGTGAAATGGTAACGGAAGACGAGGTCAACAAGAGCACAGGATGGAACAATGGGTTGGGGTTTTTTTTCAGCCATATTGCTGCTGAAAACAAAAAGGTCTGAGTCATGCAAATAGAGAGAAAGCTGAGGCGAAGAGCATGATGCCGAAACAAACAACACATTTAACAAGTGTAACAGCCCACAATCAGCTGATGAGGTCAGCAGTCACATCACATTAAAAACAAACAAACAGCGATGGAAATAACCCAAAAGCCACTCCACAGCTCGCAAAGAAAACACGAAAAAATGAAGCAGCTTTCAGTTATAATGAAAAATTCAAAAGCAAGTGGACACACGAAGACACTTTAGACCCAAGATTATTCACTTACGATGGGCTTTGGTCACTCAAAAGCGGGCGTAATCAGGCCCTGTACTGAAAGCAGAAACAATCCCCACGTGTCAACAGTCAGGATCAAATACCAACGCACATCTTCCAACATGAGACAGGGAAATAAATGACTACACACTTCCTCCTAACATGGCTGCACATTATAAGGCATGTATATTTGATTTCCTGTTAACACAAGGTATCATTAAAGGTATTAAAAGGGAAAACAGACCAAGACTGAGCTGACTGGAGCCTGTGTTTAGAGGTACTGTTGCTCCTTTTGTTTGATTTTTTCCACATTATTATCTGTAACACGGTGTCAGATATACTCAGTGATAACACTGTGAGACTTTTACATGACTGTTCTGAAAAGCACTTTATATTCAGTGCATACAGTTTTCCATTATGACCTCACTGCTGTACCTTCACTAAGCCAAAGGTGATTTTTTCACCAACATCAGCACCACATTAAACACAGCGTCTGCAGAGGCGCGCGATCTGATATCGTCGTGTTGGTGTTGTTCCCAGATCATCATACTAAAGGTTGTTCCAGGATCAACATTGCAAGTGACCAATCAGAATGTTGTGATGTCATACTTTTGCGACTTCGGGAAAAACCG